AGTCATTATTTTTTTACATAAACAGTTATTCACACCTTTTTTCATGCTCATACAGATATATTAAAATTAAATTTGCCATGGAATATGTTCACAAACCGGAAAAAATAAAATCTGATTTTTTGAGTGTAGATGACAAGCATATCCAGAACAGGTATTCCCACGTAGCTTATATTCTTGTATGTTTACCATAAATATTATAAATGCTTCCTGCTATATATGCGCATGCAAAGTATATTTTCAGGGTGAAGTAGAAAAAAATCGATGAATATCAAAAAATTATTATTATTTTTTTTTTTACTCTGTAATCTTTTGTGCTAGTTGTTGTAAACACTTGTCAGTTTCTGTTTATCTTGGTAATATTCACACACAAAAATTATATACCAAAGATGAGAAAATGCGATACACAATTCGTAATGCATAGACGAAGAAATCTGTAGCATATTTGGAGAAAATGTGTAGTTTGGAAAGCATTACACGTCAGAAAATATGGCACGACTACATTGTTTGATTAATAAAAAAACACACATATGAATACTTTATACAAGAAAAGAGAGAGAAAAAAATCACACTACACGACATAATGTGTACTCTCTGTAATACGGACAAATTGCACCATTAAAAACGAAAAGCTCGGGAAGTCCCCTTGTAAATTCCCCTACCAACTATCACTAAACAATTGCAGTAACAGTGATTACAGAGAATGTGATAATATATGCTTCTTGCAATCTCCGGCGGTTGTCGTCATGGGTGACTTCGCTAAAGGAAATGCGGGGAAGGGGAACTGTCTCGTGTGTAGCTGTAGAGGCGATGCTGCCCTTGAATATACAGGGAGTGGCGTTCTTAGTAACGAATTTCTTGTTGACAGTAGCTGCCTCCAGCGATGAAGTACATCCAGTTCTGCAAACTGTTCTGTAACAGTGTAGAACAGGAAGAATGATGTGTGTATTTTACATTGTGGATACTATGACCATTATTGTTTTTAACTGCATTTCTTTTTCATCAATGTTGTTTTTCGCTGTAATAGTATTTCTATTACATATTCTGTTTAGTATATTTGCATTTCTCTTCTTGTATCGATATCAAATCGTATGGTATTTATTTTTTACTAAAAGAGGTAATAATACAAAATAATAATCCATTAAAATGTGATTATGGTGAAACTGACATGGCATAATCTAACGTCTCATATGATATATAATACTACTGTGTGTTGGGAGGGGGACCTAGCATGATAAATTTATATCGTTATAACACTGTACCTCAAAGGCCTTAGGTGAGCATAGGATATACGTACATGGTATGACGATAACAGATTTATCGTTTAAATTCCAGTGCATATTAATCCAAATGACTTCATTCGAAGAGTTTTAAGTATGACAGACAAGAGAAATGTTATTCGTTAATGGCAATAATTATCTTTATATATATATATATATATATATATATATATATATATATGTGTGTGTGTGTGTGTGTGTGTGTGTGTGTGTGTGTGTGTGTGTGTGCGTGTGCGTGTGCGTGTGTGTGTGTGTGTGTTTGTGGGGGGGTGTATATATATATATTTGTATATATATGCATATATGAATATATATGTATATATATACATAAATATATAGAAAAATGGTCTCAAGTTCAAATCCACGCCGCGCCAACTCCGGCTGCTGGCTCGATCCACTCTCCCTGCGAGAAAACGACATCGGCTGAGAAGTCCGACGCAGGTGTCGCGTCCTGCCTCAAGCGGTAGGGATTTGGAAGGGCATTCAGCCAGGCGTGAATGGCACTGCCAACATATCCTCTCAATAATACACTGAGAATGGCGAAATATCTAAATATATATATTAATATACATATGTAAATATATATGCATATATATATACATACATATATACATAGCTAGATAATGTGTGCATATATAGATAGATAGATAGATAAATAAATATATAGATATAATGTATGTATACAGTGCGTATATATATATTTATATACTTATTACATACTCGAACACACACACACACACACATATATATATTTATGTGTGTGTGTGTATGTATATATACATATATATATATATATATATATATATATATATATATATATATATATATATATATATATACACAGATAGAGACAAAGAGAGGGTTTACTGAAATAAGTGTATGGCAGCCTTCTATAAGAATTGCAAAGTAAAGATAACATTGATGGCGCAAGATATTAGAAAGTGTGTAATATGAAAGAAAAAGCTTGCATTTGTCTTACTCTTTCTGTCAGCAACTTTGTAATAGGAGTATTCATTATCTTGTTTTAGGAAACTGTTTCTACTATTATACAGTCTACATTGTACTGCACACTCGCTGGATTCTCAGAGTAGCCTATCATATTTGTAGTTTAATATTATTCTTGATTTTGTCATTACCATTTTTAGTATCATTTTCATCACTTGCATCAGAAGTAGTAGTACTAGTTGCAGTAATATCATTATCATTACATTCATTGTCATATTGCTCATCGTTTATGTTATCACCATCATTAGTAGTAGTAGTAATGGTAACTGTCATTATCATATTTCCATTATTATCATCCCTCCCTCCCGTAAATCCATTTGCATATGTATATATATATTTACATGTGTGTGTTTATTTGTACATATTCACCAATGTATTTTGATGGATAGATGGATAGATTGGTAGATGTATGTATGTTTATATACATACACACACACGCACATGCATATATATATGCGTGTGTGTGTGAGTGTATGTATGTTTATATGTACATGTTTACCTATGTGTATTGACAGCTGGATTGATTGGTGTATGCATGTATATATGCATACGTAAACACAAACGTATATGAATATACATATATGTATATTTACATGTGTATGTATGTGTCTACGTAGAGTCATATAAAAATATATTTATATGTATGCATATATATATATATATATATATATATATATATATATATATATATATATATATATACATTTACTTATATATATGTGTGTGCGCATGTGTATATATGCATATATATATGGGCGCATGTGTATGTGTGTGAATAAAGAGAGAGAAAGAAAGAAAAAGAGGGAGATGGATATTTCAAAAGATATATAAATAAACATATTTAGATAGATTTCATCATAAATACATATTCATACATGTCTGCTTAATTCTCACTGCGGAGACATTTTTTTTTTCTTTTATCTTTTTTTTTTTTTTTGACAACGAAATCTTGTATACTTCAAGGCCTTACAGGACGTGACACTCGAGTATAAATACTGAAACAGAAGCAAGCAGTGTTATACTTTGTTGATTAGACGCTTAGTCATCTATCAACTCCACTGCAGAATTTCTATAATCATGTATTCACTGAACATTCTGGTAAGAATTCATTCATTACGGAAAGTAAATGAAAAAGTGTTCATTTCACTTTGAAGTCTGTTTAAATGTCTCACGTTCTCTCTTTTCCCATCCCTCTCTCCCTCCTCTTCTCCCTTTCCCTCTCTAACTCTTTATATAATGTATAAGCATACATATATCTATATTTGTGAACATATGCCTATATATACTGTCTATCGATATATCTTTGCTCCTCTCCATCTTATAGATTATCACTAACACAAACAGTATGAACATTTCAAATTTCAAACCCTAATAGATCCGCGTTGCGTCCGTGCTGGCCCTGGTGTGCGTGGTGTCCGCCGTCCCACAAGGATACGGTTCCGGAGGCGACGGCGGGCTGGGAGTCGATCTCGGCGGCACTGGAGGCGACGGCGGCAGCGGCGTTGGAGGCGGCAGTGTGCTTCCTGGCGTCTTGGTTGGCAGCGGTGTGCTTCCTGAAAGTGCCATTGGCGGTGTAGGTGGTGGTGCCTCTAGTGACGCTATTGGAGGAGTCATTGGTGGGGAATACAGCGCACCAAGTGTTGGTGTTGTTGGAGGTTTTGACGGTGGTGTTGCTGGAGGCGCTGGTGATATCTCCGATGTCAGCACCCCTGTCAGCGATTATGCCGCACCACACTAATTCGGCTGTACTGATCATTAAAGAATATAAGTAATTGTTGAGCTCTGACATCCCAAAAAATGTCGAGAAAACCTTCCATCACAGTGAAATTATGTATAATTTTTCTAATTTCCCAATTTCCATTTACTGTGGCATTCATTAACATAATTTCTACCCTTATCTAAATCATATCTATTACGACTCGTATCACTGTACTGTACTATTATCATAAATACGTTACTGGGAATGATACCAAAATTAACACTGATGGAGATATTCTTAACCTGAAATACAACTGCCAGATATGAACTGTCAAGATAAACACACTGCAGACTGAATATTCCAGTATACTTGTTTATAGAAAAGAAAACATTCGGAATTGTTTCCCTTCTTGTCTAGTATATATACATATATATGTATACATATACATACATATATGTGTGAATATATGTATATGTGTTCGTGTGTATACATAATATACATATATATTATGAATACACACAAACTTACATGTTTTTGATATGCATACAAATGCACAGAAACACATATATGTGTGTGTGTGTGTACACATATAGACATACACACGCATGTGTGTTTATACATATGTGTATATTTATACGTATTTGTGCGTGTGTATAAAAACACTTCTTTCTTCACACACTTGGATAAGTAAGCTTACTTTGATTTTTACAAGTGTTGCACAGGCTTCGTTATAATGCGCATGTACAGTATTCATATTTAGACGCATTTGTATGTACGTCCACAAACACATGAATATGTATATATGTATTTGTATATATATACATTATATGTGTGTGTGCATTCGCAATATCGTTCTTCACCAGGGATATCCCTCACAGAAACAATAAAATCAGGCATCCTTCTGGGCCTTGCGGAAGTTGGCACTTGAGTGTATAGACTGAGACGGAGACAAGCAGCAAAACATCACGCTGACTAGACGCTTAGTCATCTATCAACTCCACTGCAGAATTTCTGTAATCATGTATTCACTGAACATTCTGGTAAGAAATCATCATTAAGAGACTAAAAGAAAAATGCCAATTTTGAAAAGAAGTATGATAATGGCCGAACTTTTCCTTTGTATTTCCATTCACTCCTTTATTCATCTGACTACCTATGTTGAGTACACAGACATCTTTTGTATCTTGTATCTTTTTATTCTTTTCCTTGTACGCGGAAAAGTACTGATGATCTATATGTTAGCCAATAGCTTCTGGCGTGCGTGGTCCCGCCTTCCCACTAGGATACGGTTCCGGAGGACATAGCGAGCTGGGAGTCGATCTCAGCGGCGCAGGAGGCCACAGCGGCAGCGGTGTTGGAAGCGAAAGAGAGCTCCCAGGCGTCTTAGTTGGCAGCGGTGTGCTTCCCGAAAGTGCCATTGGCGGTGTAGGTGGTGGTGCCAATGGTGACGCTGCTGGAGGAGTCATTGGTGGGGAATACAGCGGACCAAGTGTTGGTGTTGTTGGAGGTTTTGACGCTGGTGTTGCTGGAGGCGCTGGTGATATCTCCGATGTCAGCACCCCTGTCAGCGATTATGCCGCACCACACTAATTCGGCTGTACTGATCATTAAAGAATATAAGTAATTGTTGAGCTCTGACATCCCTAAAAAGTCGAGAAAACCTTCCATCACAGTGAAATTATGCATAATTTCTCTAATTTCCCAATTTCCATTTACTGTGGCATTCATTAACATAATTTCTACCCTTATCTAAATCATATCTATTACGACTCGTATCACTGTACTGTACTATTATCATAAATACGTTACTGGGAATGATACCAAAATTAACACTGATGGAGATATTCTTAACCTGAAATACAACTGCCAGATATGAACTGTCAAGATAAACACACTGCAGACTGAATATTCCAGTATACTTGTTTATAGAAAAGAAAACATTCGGAATTGTTTCCCTTCTTGTCTAGTATATATACATATATATGTATACATATACATACATATATGTGTGAATATATGTATATGTGTTCGTGTGTATACATAATATACATATATATTATGAATACACACAAACTTACATGTTTTTGATATGCATACAAATGCACAGAAATACATATATGTGTGTGTGTGTGTGTGTACACATATAGACATACACACGCATGTGTGTTTATACATATGTGTATATTTATACGTATTTGTGCGTGTGTATAAAAACACTTCTTTCTTCACACACTTGGATAAGTAAGCTTACTTTGATTTTTACAAGTGTTGCACAGGCTTCGTTATAATGCGCATGTACAGTATTCATATTTAGACGCATTTGTATGTACGTCCACAAACACATGAATATGTATATATGTATTTGTATATATATACATTATATGTGTGTGCATTCGCAATATCGTTCTTCACCAGGGATATCCCTCACAGAAACAATAAAATCAGGCATCCTTCTGGGCCTTGCGGAAGTTGGCACTTGAGTGTATAGACTGAGACGGAGACAAGCAGCAAAACATCACGCTGACTAGACGCTTAGTCATCCATCAACTGGGTTAATGGAAGTTTATGATCATGAATTCCCTGAATAGTTTGGTAAAAAATCATCATTAAGAGACTAAAAGAAAAATGCCAATTTTGAAAAGAAGTATGATAATGGCCGAACTTTTCCTTTGTATTTCCATTCACTCCTTTATTCATCTGACTACCTATGTTGAGTACACAGACATCTTTTGTATCTTGTATCTTTTTATTCTTTTCCTTGTACGCGGAAAAGTACTGATGATCTATATGTTAGCCAATAGCTTCTGGCGTGCGTGGTCCCGCCTTCCCACTAGGATACGGTTCCGGATGACATAGCGAGCTGGGAGTCGATCTCAGCGGCGCAGGAGGCCACAGCGGCAGCGATGTTGGAAGCGGAAGAGAGCTCCCAGGCGTCTTAGTTGGCAGCAGTGTGCTTCCTGAAAGTGCCATTGGCGGTGTAGGTGGTGGTGCTTCTGGTGGCGCTGCTGGAGGAGTCATTGGTGGAGAATATGACACACCAACTGCTAGTGAAGCGGGTAGCTTCGACGTTGGAAACGCCATTGGTGTTGGTATTGGCGAGGAATATACTGCCCCTGAAGTTTCTCCTGTCGAATATGCTGCTCCTCACTGATTCCGATATGAAGATTAATAAAAGAAGATACTAGGTATTAAATTTTGACATCCTTACGTGACCCCCCAATATATATATATATATATATATATATATATACATATAAATGTGAGTTCTTCCATAAGAATGAAATTCCATTTTATTGCTCCAGTCTCAGACAGGTCCATTCTTTCAAAAGTTTTCATTAATACAAATCAAAACAGTCTTAACTTTTTCAAGCAGTGTGATTATGTATGTGATGTGTGTGTATATATACATATGTATAAATACATATACATATATATATATATATATATATATATATATATATATATATATATATATAATATATATATATATATATTATATATATATATATATAATATATATATATATATATACATATAAATGTGAGTTCTTCCATAAGAATGAAATTGCATTTTATTGCTCCAGTCTCAGACAGGTCCATTCTTTCAAAAGTTTTCATTAATACAAATCAAAACAGTCTTAACTTTTTCTATGTATGTATGTATATAGATGTTTGTGTATATATACAGATATATATGTATATATATATATATATATATATATATATATATATATATATATATATATATATATGTATATATCATGTGTAAGTATATATGTATATATACAAGTAAAAATATCTACATCACATATATAGATGTATATGTATGTATATCATATGTACTTATATAGGTATATATATGTATGTGTGAAACAAAATAAAATATAATGAGCTTCCATTCTTCCCTTTTTCTACGTATTTCTACCTACAACGATTGCATCATTGCTCTTGTTGCATCACTGTTAGTGTTTTGACGATATCTTGATAAGGAGAGAGAGGGAACAATACATAGATAGCGAGGGAGACAGAGAGAGAGAGAATCCTGGTAATGGAGATAATTGAAACCGCTTCATAATTTGATTAACATATTCTTGGTTTTCATGATACGTCAGCTATATCTCCTATTTCTTATTTCCTTAAAACTCAGCTAAAACCTCTTATACTTTTAAATGTTCGCAATTGCCAATACTAAAAAGGAATATTCACATAGGCATCCTTTTCACTTTAAAGGTATGTATGTGCAGTATGTGTGTATGGTTCATTCATAATGCATATGAATAACAATTACACGGTTTACAATTAGATTGCATATCTCTAAGATCAATTAGTAAAGAAGCTAGTCTTGCATTATCCATCGGTTCGATACCTACTTTACAATAAGATGACTATTATCATTGTCGTTAATATTATTCTGATTAGTGTCGTGTTCTTTCTTTGTGTGTATATATATGTAAATATTTTTACTATTTTTTACTGCTTTAAATCCAATATGTCCTTCATAGTAATACATTTTTTGAAAGGAATCCATTGCTTTACACTAATCTAATGTCGGCATACCATTACAATTACATTACGCATTCGTTTTCAAAGGCGCCTTACTAGGAGTTTGGATTAAAATTTTGTGTTTATTCATATATCTACATATATACATATACATTCGTGTACATATAAATATATATAGATATAGATAGATAGATAGATATTTATATATGTATTTTTGTTTGAATAAGAACTTCTTTCTTCCCACTGTTATTCACATTTTTACTTGGATAATCATTTTTTTTTTATAACATACGTATACCTCCATTATAGGCTGTATAGGCTTCATGATCATTCATATGCATAGTATTCATATTTAGAAGCAGAAATAAACATACACATGCACGCACACATGTATATATGTTTATATACATATGCCCATATATTAAATGTATATTCATGTATGGGTGTATATATACAAATATTTATATACGCCGTATATATGTGTTCTTCCTCAACGATGTCCCTCATACCAACAATAAAATCTGGCATCCTTCTGGCCTTGCGGAAACTGGCACTTGAGTATATATACTGAAACCGTGACAAGCAGCAGCACTCCGCACTGACTAGACGCTTAGTCATCCATCAGAGCAATTCTTTAATCATGAATCCACCAAGTATTTTGGTATGAAGTCATTACAGAGTTAAAGAAAAGAACAATCTTTTACTTTGTATTTACATTTTCCCTCTCTAATTATTTGCTTATATGCAGCAAATCTACAATACATCCATACTGCATGTCTGTTATCAAACACAGATCTTCAAGTGTCTTTGGTTCTATCTTTCGCATCCTCTTCCTCATACACTATTACTAATCTATATGTTTCCCAATAGCTCCGAGTTGCGTCCTTGTTGGTCCTGGTGTGCGTGGTGTCCGCCGTCCCACAAGGATACGGCTCCGGGGGCGACGGCGGGCTGGGAGTCGATCTCGGTGGCGCAGGAGGCCACGGCGGCAGCGGCGTTGGAGGCGGCAGTGTGCTTCCTTTCGTCTTTGTCGGCAAGGGTGTGCTTCCTGAAAGTGCCATCGGTGGTGGTGCCTCTGGTGGCGCTGCTGGAGGAGTCGTTGGTGAGGAATACAGTGTACCAAGTGCTGATGTTGTTGGTGTCGACGCTGATGTTGCCGGAAGCTTAGATGGTGGTGTTTCTGGAGGCGCTGCTAATGCTGCCATCGGCGAGGAATACACCGCCCCGGCTGTAGTCCCCGAAGTCTCTCCTGTCAGCCCCCCTGGAAGCGAATATGCTGCACCACACTGATTTTGTTGTGATTGTAAATAAAAGAGAGTATTAGATGCTGAACTATTACATCCTAAACTGATCCACCATAATAATAACAATAATCATGAAAATAATAATAATAACAATAATAACTTTCGTAAACATACATAAACTCACAAATGTATGTATGTAGATATATATATGCATATATTTATACATACACATATAGTGTGTTTGTGTACATATGTACGTATGTGTAGATATATATGTATATATACAGTATAATATATATACATATAGATGTACATACATATATATGCATAGATATGTATGTGTATATATACATGTTTGTGTCAACACGAGGAGATATTTTGGTATATGTGCTGGAGAGAGAGAGACTCCTCCTAATGTAGATATCTGAAACTTGCATAATTTGATTTATATGTCATAAGCACTTCCGTTTCTAAATATATATTTCCTTTAATTTCTTAAAATTGTATTTTACCGTTGCCTTCCCTTGATGCTTTAAGATATCCGCATGCGCAAATATACATACATACATACCTATATATATATATATATATATATATATATATATATATATATATATATATATATACATATATATAATCGACATTTCTATTTCTACGACTTTTTAATCCCACTATGTTGTAGGGTCGGCCACACCAGTTTTCCTTCTCCATTTACTTTTGTCAAGCGCATATTTCCCACGTTACTCGTATGTTCATACCGTTTCTATGCCCAGCCACCGCTCTCCTTCGCCTTCTTTATCTCCTCTTCGTTTCTTCGTTCGGCACATCCAAAGAATTTCATACGTGCCTCTGTTACCTTTTCCCAAATATTACAGGTTCTGAACATTCCTCTCCTATCTTCGCTTGTCCTGTGAAATGCCGGCAGTCTACTTTATCATCCTCCTCTCTGTTCTTTACAATGGGGGTGTCACACAAGCAATGTTTCCGTGGTTCTTTCACGATTTCGTATGTTTTCTCCACATTACAGCTGGCATTGTTGTCGAATGCGATAACATCTTGCGATAATAGTTTTCGATGGCAAATTTTCCGTTTTTTGTTCATATCACAGGCTTTAACTGATACTCACTTTTACTGATGATAAGCATTTCTATTCATATTGTGGGATGATTTGAGAATACTATCCGAAGTGTATGTAATATGAAATAATTGGGAAAATTGTATTTTATGTTTATCACGAGAGAAAGGTAACTAGTTGTTCGCCTGTTTGTATACATCTGTGAGCCATGTTCCCCTGACTGAGAGCAGTGGCTAGTAGAGAATGTATAGTAGTTTCGTGGTTCATATCGCCAATGTGATAGCGCCAAAAAGACTACTTTCCGTGGCACCAGGGAAAATACAATGCTGAAAAAAAAGTGCTTTCTCGGTCTCATCGTCTGCAATCACTGATCCTAAATTTATGAATTCAGTCGGGTATGTTAACCTTATGACGTATTTGATTTTATCTTCTCATCTGCTACTGATTTTTTTTTCTGTCTCCAGTATTTAATTTCATCCCCTTTTTTTTTGTAAACACCCTTTGCTTGTCAAATAATGTTGTAACTTCTCTTTAAAAACAGAAAATATATATATATACATCTATATATTTATGATTAAAAGTTAACGTTTGCGCTGCACATTTGTGATGGTCTATTTATACTGCATATGAATAAGAAATACACAGTTTTCAGAACGAAACAGGTACCTGTTTTGCATTATAATTGCCAGTGTTATTACTGTTATTCTTATCCTGATTATTGTCATGTTTATTTTCTGGGTTAAAAAGTTGTGTTTATATATATATATATATATATATATATATATATATATATATATATATATATATATACATATATATATATATATGTATATATATATATATATATATATATATATATATATATATATATATATATATATATATATATATATATATATCGTCACCCTGCTAAGATAATTGCCTAACTCACATTTCTTATCATATCCTGATTATTGTCATGTTTATTTTCTAGATTATAAAGTTGTGTTTGTATATATATATATATATATATATATATATATATATATATATATATATCGTCACCCTGCTGAGATAATTGCCTAACTCACATTTTTCTCAAATTGGGATTTTTGCCTAACTAACCTCCTCCTTTACACCTCCTGTAAAACTGCCTAAGTCACTGAAATTACTCATAACAAGAATATTAAACAAAATGTATTTGGCCTCAACAATAAAGAGTAGATATTGAATAAATGAAGTTGTTTTTTTGTTCTCTTCAAAATTTGCAAAAAATGAAATAGGCAACTATCTTAGCAGGGTGACGATATATATATATTACCGATACTTAAACGTAATGGATTTTTAATCGAAATTTGCTGCCTTTAATCCCACTTCATTTTATATTTATAATTACTATTATTATTTTCACTGAGACTTGGCTCTCTAAATGTTCGATCCGAATCCGATCCGAATTTCTCCTTGACAAATAAAAAAGTTAAAATAAAACAACCGCAAAAATAAAATAAAGTAAAAAAGATCCTCGAATAAAACTACAATTATTTCCATAAATGAAGCGTGGAAATATAATTACTCATGGTAATATTGCCAGATGGCTACAGCGCCATCTGTTTTCATTAGTAACCTTTTATCTTTTCAAACATTCAAATTACTCTATTTCCCTTTCTAAATAAATAGCTCAGTTTTTCAACATGAAGGGCTTTTGTATTATGATACACATACATGTATATGTGCGTGCAAGTATATGTGTACACCTTTACCATAGTGTTATATGACCTTGATGTCTAGCACATTTGTTGTAACCATTAACCAAGTACGTATATGTGTATGTTAGTGTTATATTGTGTATGTACATTTATATACGCATAATATATGTGACCTTGCCCATGTAATTGCAATGGAAACTTCTTTGTACAGCGATATCCTTCAAAGCAAGAAAATAAATCAGGCATCCTTGTAGTTCTTCCGTGAGTTGGCACTCAAGTATAAATACAGATAGGAAGGCGGGCATTGGCACAGTGGCACACCGCGCAGAATAGACGCTTAGTCATCCATCAACTGGATTGCAGAAATTCTAGAGTCATGAATACCCACAGCATTTTAGTAAGAAATCATTAGTTATTGAAAGTATATGATGTTTATTTAAGAAGAAAGTGTAGGACATGATAAGTCCTTTCTTCCTCTGTATATTCATCCATCCCTTTTTGATTGTCTCCCGCCTTTCGTTTCAATATGCACTTATGTATAGCGAAGATATATATATATTTACAGCTGTTGTTCTAACTATGTCTTCGTCCCTATATTTCAAACTTCAAACCCAATAGATCCGCGGTGCCTCCGTGCTGTTCCTGACGTACATGGTGTCCGCCGTCCCACAAGGATACGGTTCCGGAGGCGACGGCGGGCTGGGAGTCGATCTCGGCGGCACAGGAGGCCACGGCGGCAGCGGTGTTGGAGGCGGCAGTGTGCTTCCTTTCGTCTTTGTCGGCAAGGGTGTGCTTCCTGAAGGTGCCATTGGTGGTGGTGCCTCTGGTGGCGCTGCTGGGGGAGTTATTGGTGGAGAATACAGCGCACCAAGTGCTGGTGTTGCCGGAGGCGTCAACGCTGGAGTCGCTGGAGGCTTCGATGGTAGTGTTGCTGGAGGCACTGCTGATGTTGCCATCGGCGAGGAATACACCGCTCCGGCTGTAGTCCCCGAAGTCTCACCTGTCAGCCCCCCTGGCAGCGAATATGCTGCACCACACTAATTTTGACGGATAATAAAAAAGTCATATATTGCTATGTTGATGTTTGACTTCCTTGGTTAATCTGGAACGTATACTATCCAACCCCAAAAAAGGGAAGAATTCCTACCATAGTTGAAGACCATGACGAACACGAGAGAAGAGGAGGGGGAGGGGAGAAAAACTCGTTATAACCTGCAGAACTTGAGCAAAATCATAAAAACCGGCAGTGTGCGCCTCGTGAATTGGCCTCATTGAAGCAGAGCCCTCACTCTTTCATGCTTGTCTCTATATCTATTTATCCATATATATTGTTCTTTATCCATCTATCTATCTCGTTCTTTACCTATTCATCAAATTGTAATATTATATCCATATCCTTATATCAATAATATATGTATGCATTTATATATCTACACATGAGTGACAAGCAAATACAGTCTGCTGTTAGAATGCCGGCACACCAATGAATTTAAATATGTGTCTATAAAGATATATGTTCATTAACCTATGCTCTTACTCATAAAGAGAATTTTATTTATAAAGGCTACTAATACCTATTTTGCATCATAGTTATTACTACTATCATCATTAGTTATCACTCATTATATTTAGTTATAGTTTCCTGTTTAGTTCCATCGCGTTCTGATCTAATTCGCTTAAATGTAATATTTCCTAAAGCTAAAATTCCTCATCAGTACGTTCACGCCAGACACAAAAATCAAATATTTTTCTTCCTAATATATATGTATAAATCTTAAATTTTCTGTTAGTGGTCGTCAAGAAATTCAAAACGCTCTTACTTTTGTGTCTCCAAAGAAGACAGAAAACTCGTAATCATGGCTATATCCGATTATTAGCAAAGTGCAACAGATACAACACTAACATCAAGGTGCAATGTTAAAACTTTTGATGTATTTTATTGAGCTTTGTAAGTGGCAGGATCAGATAACAATCATAACAATTACAATAACAGATATGAATGAGTATTCTATTGCACTGCTTCTTTTCAACACTTTCAAAGTTTGTTCCACTACTTCTTTCTTAGGAGATATATATATATATATATATATATATATATATATATATATATATACATATATATATATATATATATATATATATATATATATATATATATATATATATATATATAGCAGGTTCACCTAGCTGATTATACGACACTATACAAATAAGCTGATCTACGACATCTGATACCCAGGCCTGGGAGGTAGCAGGGGTGGAGAGGAGGTAGTACATACCTTGGTAGCAGCGCCTTGCATCAAAGAGGATGCCGATAGGGTGTAATGATCATAAACTGTTATGATGCGACAGGTGATCTATATATGGCAAAGCATACAGTTTATGAACGTTCATATACACTTGGCCACAATATACAATAGTTGATATTAATTATGTATGTATGAATGGTATCATTCATCGCAGATTTGAGAAAGTACTATTATAAATTCATCAATACTATAATCATTCCCTCC